ACACACACACATACAAATTCCATGTATTGTATGTAATTATTAACAAATATACTAAGTCTGACATCTTCATTGACATTTTACAATCTTGCAGGGAACATCCTCTAATAAGCTCACTAAACAAATATCAGTTCACAGAAATGTTATTTAGTTTTTACAAGTGGCATGTTTCTATTGAACAGGTTATTTAACAGTGGAATAAAACTATTTAAAACTAAATGTGTGTGCATTGAGATTAACCATTAAGATGACATAAACATGAAGTCATGAACACTAACCCAGACATTAGTTGTCTAACTTCAGGGTATATGCAGGAATTCTGAAGTCAAATGTAATACCTTTTAAGACCTTTTTTACAGGTTACATAGGCGACACACTTTAGCCTATCTCATATTTACTACAGTATTGATTGTAAGATAGCACAACTAAATAGTTTGTGATAACTCCTTATCATAATTCAGATAGAACAAAGCACAAGAGAATGAATTGTGTGACCAACCCAATGCAAGGTTTATTAGAAAAAGAAACCATTATGGTGCGTTCACACCGGACGCGATGAGATGTTTGGGGGCGGCGCGATTACATGTAAAGTCAATGCAGAGACGCGGACAGAACCAGAAAACCAAAACATCAACCGTTAGCTGTTAGCACACAGCTCCTCATATCTGTTCAGAAACTAGACAAAAGTTAAACAAGTACAAACCACAGACAGTCTGTGTCATGGCGAATACAGTCGCTGCTTTATTTATGTCTGTATGACATTGTTGTGAGCAGTGGCGTTTTTATATGTACAAAAGTGGTAGGGCACAAAAAACTTAGATGTCTATATATAAGCTTCTGCAGTGACGTGCAGTGAGGTTCATGGCTGGTGAGGCACTGGCACTGACTCTTCAGGTTTACAAATATTATATTTTGACCTAAACCAAAATATAATATTATTTTCAAAAGCTTTTTTTGTCTGATGCTTCGATTAATTTTAAACAGACAGTTCAACAAAAGGATACCCAAAAAATGTAATTTTATCATTTAAATATTGAATTGTTCTCTCTTAGTAAGATCCCATTTTCAATAAAATTGCGGTCTGACCTTGACTTGAAGATGAAGTCCATTTGCCTATCCTTCTGGACAAAAAATTCTATAACTTTTTTGTAAAAGTCCTCCTTATCTTCTTGTAGTTTCAAAAGTCTATCATAAATCTAATCGATAGATATTATCCGGCTGAACAAAACGTGCATTTATCTAACAGGTATGTTTCCCACAGATCTTATTTCGAGCTATTTTCTAAAATCCTATGGAGAAACCTCATTGCTTTTTTGCAGCTTACTTCCTGGTTTTAGGACGCGTCACTGCAGCTCCTCTTCACACAGCACACTTTTCGCGGCACACGTACTTACAGCCAATCAGCTCTGAATGATGTGAGATGACGTATGGTGGGGATGGCAGCTCTGTGCCCCTATGGTCTTTTTTTTTTTGCCACACACATTACATTGAAAAATACTCTGAGCATGCGCAGTGTAGTTTTTAGAGTCACCGTTCACTTTGACAGTGAGTGGGTGGGGCATGGTCAGGTTTTGTCCCAAATGGCTCAAAACGGCACTGTAGACACTAATTAGAAGAACACAGACTAAAACAGCAATGTACAGACGAATCAGATGATTAAACATGACCTTAAAATATATTTTATATATTTTTTAATTTCTTTTTTTGCATCTCTTTGCATTTTTTGTAATAATTATGTGTAATACTTTCTGCTGACACTAGGTGGGGCTGTGCCCCTAATGACCAGTCGCCACTGGTTGTGAGTGTGGACGATCGGAGCATATATAACATTCGCTTAGCGTGATCGATCCGATATCCATTCAGAAAACAAGCATTTTAAAAGGTTTTTCGCCTGCCGTCTTGTCTGCAGACCGGTATCAGTATGTTGTTACTTCGGCATGATTTTGAAACGTGTATTACAATTAAATCACGGTAAAATATGTTCATTTTGTTGTAGTTGTAACCAGTGGCGACTGGTCATTAGGGGCAGGTGGGGCACAGCCCCACCTAGTGTCAGCAGAAAGTATTACAAATAATGATTACAAAAATGCAAAAAAATAAATAAAAAAATATATAAAATATATTTTAAGATCATGTTTAATCATCTGATTCGTCTGTACATTGCTGTTTTAGTATGTGTTCTTCTAATTAGTGTGTCTACAGTCACAGTGTGTGCCTATTGAGCTGTTTAGAGCCATGTGGGACAAAACCTGATTATGCCCCTCCCTCTCGCTGTGAAGTCAACGGTGACTGTAAAAACTACACTGCGCATGCTCAGAGTATTTTGTAATGAAATGTGTGTGGCAAAAAAATAATGACCAGAGGGGCATGGAGCTACCATCCCCACCATACGTCATCTCAAATCATTCAGAGCTGATTGGCTGTAAGTACGTGTGCCGCGAAAAGTGTGGTGTGTGAAGAGGAGACGAGAGAGCTGCAGTGACGCGTCCTAAAACCAGGAAGTAAGCTGCGCATGGCTTCCCTCGACAAAAAAGCAATGAGATTTCTCCAGAGGATTTTAGAAAATAACTGGAAATAAGATCTGTGGGAAACGTACCTGTTAGATAAATGCACGTTTTGATCAGCCGGATAACATCCACATGTCTACCCTACTTTTATAATTTTTTTATCATAAATCTATGGATTAGATTTATGATAGACTTTTGAAACTACAAGAACATAAGGAGGACTTTTACAAAAAAGTTATAGACATTTTTGTCCAGAAGGATAGGCAAATGGACTTCATCTTCAAGTCAAGGTAAGACCGCAATTTGATTGAAAATGGGATCTTACTAAGAGAGAACAATTCAATATTTAAATGATAAAATTACATTTTTTGGGTATCCTTTTGTTGAACTGTCTGTTTAAAATTAATCGAAGCATCAGACAAAAAAAGCTTTTGAAAATAATATTATATTTTGGTTTAGGTCAAAATATAATATTTGTAAACCTGAAGAGTCAGTGCCAGTGCCTCACCAGCCATGAACCTCACTGCACGTCACTGCAGAAGCTTATATATAGACATCTACGTTTTTTGTGCCCCACCACTTTTGTACATATAAAAACGCCACTGGTTGTAACCCCCTAGCCAGCGAGTCTTGTTTGAATGATGCGAGTAAAAAAAGAAACAGAAACTCGAGCGTTTTGAGCGATAAGAGCGATTAGAGCGAAGCAAATATTTGCATCGCGTCCGGTGTGAACGCAGCATTAGAAAGTAGTATTTGATTTAGGCATTGTTTCAAAGAGAAAGACTACTGAAGCCTCCTCCAACGGGATGCCATAAATAAACTACACAGAATCACACTACACAACTACGCAATTATTAAATGCAGGCACACTTTAGAATACAACCTCTTGGAGCATGTATATACTTATTGAAAACAAGCTACAAAATGTAATACCTTGGAAAATGCCGTTTAATACTTTTTAATAGCCTTAATTTTCGCTAAATTGATTGATCAACTTTTAATACTATTTAAGACCCCGCGGACACCCTGAACTTGAACCTAATGCTGAGTTCACACCGGACGCGATGCGAATATTCGCTTCGCTCTAATCGCTCCTATCGCATCGCTCTAAACGCTGGAGTTTCACCGCGGCTGCCAGCTGTGTTTACTCGCATAATTCAAACAAGACGCGCTGGCTCGGGAGCTACAACTACAACAAAATGAACATATTTTACCGTGATTAAATTGTAATACACGTTTCTAAATGATGCCGAAGTAACAACATACTGATAGCGGTTAGTAAAAACCATGAATTAATGCTTGACAAGTCTGCAGACAAGACGGCAGGCGAAAATCTTTTAAAATGCTTGTTTTCTGAATGAAGATCGGGTCGACCAGGCTAAGCTAACATTGTATATGCTCATTCCACACTCATAACAACGGCCGACAGACATAAATAAACCAGCGACTGTATTCGCCATGGCACAGACAGTCTGTGGTTTGTACTTGTTTAACTTTTGTCCAGTTTCTGAACAGATATGAGGAGCTGTGAGCTCTGTGTGCTAACTGCTAACAGCTAACGGCTGATGTTGTGTGGTTGAACGTCAGTGACGGCAGGCTGAGATCCTCACCGCTGATTGGCTTCCTCGAGAACGCGTCACGTGAATTTTACGCTCGAGTTGAAAAAATGGAACTCTCGCGTTTAGCGCGGCACCGTTCAATCGCGTGATTCGCGCCGCGCAGGGGCGTCGCCTGGACCTGGAAACATTCGGGGCTGAGCCCACAGTGGCGGTGTAGGTACCAGAATCTGTTCGGGGTTCGTTACGCTTACCAATGACGTCACGCATTGGCTGTACAGCAACATATAGGTGTGTCGTGTGTGTACAGAGTTATAAAGGTTGGTATAAAATCCTTGTTAAATCGGAGAATTAATTCGGGTTACGCCAGAGGTGGCGATATATGCTCCAAGTGGAAGCGATTCGCCATTAAATAAAAGAAGAAGAAGAATTACGCCATCTGGTGTCACAAACAAACGTGTGCCTGCATTAGCTTTGTTACGGCAATGGATTGTGGGAGATTCTCATAACATGTGAGGATCTCTCGAGGGTAAGGTGCCTGTGTTATTTTGGTGGACAAAATGTATGTTTTTATTTTATAAGGACTAGAACGTTTTGTTGTGTTTGTTTAGTTTAATGTTAATCGTTTAATGCTCACACAGCAGCATGTTTTTTGTGTGTTTGGCTATTGGTTTTATATGATTTATCAACGTGATCATCAATAGCTAATCTGAGCTAATAAGCTAATGGGAGAGCTGCTCCACACGATTTACTGCCTGCACCAAGTCAATTGTTTCTTTCTGCAGGTATTTGTGCAGGCCCTGAGTGGTTGAGAGCAGTGTCTGGAACAGGACAAGCATGTAGATGGTACTGCATTTGCAAAACTTGCTTTCCAGCCCCTTTGCCAGAGGGGCTGAAAGGCTCCCTAAAGTCTTGATCAAAGCAGGGAGGTTTGTGACATGCCCAGCGAACAAGTTATTTGTCCCCTACCTCTAGCTGTTTCTGAAATGTTTGCAATCTCTAATGGTGGAGAAGAAAGAGTAGAGACACTCCAGGAGATCAACGCAGGTATGTGAGTTTTGTACACCAGTTTTTTTAAGTTTAATGTTTCACATTGCTTATGAAAAATATACTACCACTATACGATCACTGATGTTTTGTTGTTGACTGGACACTTATTTTTTTAAAGAGATGGCATGTGAGGATCTCTTAAGCAATGAAGCTCACGTGTCCTTTTTATATGCTGTCCATTGAAATGCAGGAAAGTAGTCACCAACTGTGAGTGATCTGTTGCCGAGGGGACACTACACCGGAGTTACATAAGCAGAGGTAAAGTACTATTTTGGGGGGAACTCCCCCAGGAAGATTTTTTTTAAATATTGAAGTTAAAAGCATCAATCTGGTGCACTTTGAGAGCAACATTAAGACACCCATATGTAAAAAAAAATCAAAGAATCAGAATCAGAAACAGGTTTATTATTTAAAAACACTTGATTTTCCAATTAAATCATAAACTATGTCAAATTATTAGAAGTTGTTAGTAATTAGATTTAAACTGAAAAAAGGGATGGAAGGAGGAAATAATAATCCCTCCTCACTTGCTGCTTCCCTCATCACTTGCTTCCTTCATCACTTGCTGCTTCCCTCATCACTTGCTTCCTTCATCACTTGCTTCCTTCATCACTTGCTTCCTTCATCACTTGCTTCCTTCATCACTTGCTGCTTCCCTCATCACTTGCTTCCTTCATCACTTGCTTCCTTCATCACTTGCTGCTTCCCTCATCACTTGCTTCCTTCCTCACTTGCTGCTTCCCTCATCACTTGCTTCCTTCCTCACTTGCTGCTTCCCTCATCACTTGCTGCTTCCTTCCTCACTTGCTTCTTCCTTCATCACTTGCTTCCTTCCTCACTTGCTGCTTCCTTCATCACTTGCTTGCTTCCTTCATCACTTGCTTCCTTCATCACTTGCTTGCTTCCTCACTTGCTGCTTCCTTCATCACTTGCTTCCTTCCTCACTTGCTTCTTCCTTCATCACTTGCTTGCTTCCCTCATCACTTACTTCCTTCATCACTTGCTTGCTTCCCTCATCACTTGCTGCTTCCCTCATCACTTGCTTCCTTCCTCACTTGCTGCTTCCCACATCACTTGCTTCCTTCATCACTTGCTTGCTTCCTTCATCACTTGCTTGCTTCCCTCATCACTTGCTTCCTTCATCACTTGTTGCTTCCTTCATCACTTGCTTGCTTCCCTCATCACTTGCTTCCTTCCTCACTTGCTGCTTCCCTCATCACTTGCTGCTTCCTTCCTCACTTGCTTCATCACTTGCTTCCTTCCTCACTTGCTGCTTCCTTCATCACTTGCTTCCTTCCTCACTTGCTTCTTCCTTCATCACTTGCTTGCTTCCTTCATCACTTGCTGCTTCCTTCATCACTTGCTTCCTTCATCACTTGCTGCTTCCCTCATCACTTGCTTCCTTCCTCACTTGCCGCTTCCCTCATCACTTGCTGCTTCCTTCCTCACTTGCTTGCTTCCTTCATCACTTGCTGCTTCCTTCATCACTTGCTTGCTTCCTCACTTGCTGCTTCCTTCATCACTTGCTTGCTTCCTTCATCACTTGCTGCTTCCTTCATCACTTGCTTCATCACTTGCTGCTTCCTTCATCACTTGCTTCCTTCCTCACTTGCTGCTTCCCTCATCACTTGCTGCTTCCTTCCTCACTTGCTTCATCACTTGCTTCCTTCCTCACTTGCTGCTTCCTTCATCACTTGCTTCCTTCCTCACTTGCTTCTTCCTTCATCACTTGCTTGCTTCCCTCCTCACTTGCTGCTTCCCTCATCACTTGCTTCCTTCATCACTTGCTTCCTTCATCACTTGCTGCTTCCCTCATCACTTGCTTCCTTCCTCACTTGCTGCTTCCCTCATCACTTGCTGCTTCCTTCCTCACTTGCTGCTTCCTTCATCACTTGCTTCCTTCCTCACTTGCTTCTTCCTTCATCACTTGCTTGCTTCCCTCATCACTTGCTTCCTTCATCACTTGCTTGCTTCCCTCATCACTTGCTGCTTCCCTCATCACTTGCTTCCTTCCTCGCTTGCTGCTTCCTTCCTCACTTGCTTGCTTCCTTCATCACTTGCTTGCTTCCCTCATCACTTGCTTCCCTCATCACTTGCTTCCCACATCACTTGCTTCCTTCATCACTTGCTTGCTTCCTTCATCACTTGCTTGCTTCCTTCATCACTTGCTTGCTTCCCTCATCACTTGCTTCCCTCATCACTTGCTTCCTTCATCACTTGCTGCTTCCTTCATCACATTACCTTTCATTTGCTTCGTTTTTTCTCCCCATCATCACTCGCTGTCTTCACACTCTTTATTGTTTTGTAGGTGGAAGTGTTAGGCTAAATCGCCTTGGTTTGACCTTCGCAAATCGGTCGACGACCTCCCCATGGGCCACATTAGCCAAGACCTCCTTCTCAATGGAAATGATGGCCAAATGACTAAGCCTCACCTGGCCCATTGTACTTCTCAGCCAAGTGTGTAGCCTTCGCAAGGCACTGAAGGACCTTTCACAACTGCAGCTGGTGACTGGGATTGTCAAAGCAGCTTGGAAGATGGCCTTAAGAGAGGGGAACATATCCTCATCCAAAAGGCAAAATACACTTTGGATACTTGGCATGTCTTTCTCTATCCTGGCAAGGTATTGTCTTGCAACAACAACCTCTTCAGTTTGTAAGTGGATGCTGTAATGTTGTGCAAGATTTTTGAGTGCCTCTTCATTCAGGAAATTCTCAGAAGCAGGGTGACATGCCTGTATGCCAATTAATATTTTTTCCCCAACTCCAGAAAACCTGTTTTGAAGCTCCTCCAGCATTCTGTCGAGAACTGGAAAGAAGATTCTCCCCCTCAAGTCATCTCCTGTAGTCAGGTCTGACCTTGCTCCACATGATGCCTCGACTACAAAGTCTTCCATGTTTCTACGCTTCTTCCTCTGTGTCGCAGTTTCGGGAATCTCAAGATCATTGCACAGGGCCTTGGTCTTGTCATAGACCTCATGTGCTTTCTCGTCACTTCGGTAACTTTTCAGTGCGTTCTCAACTGCTGTTTTGTAATTTACTGCCTGCACCAAGTCAATTGTTTCTTTCTGCAGGTATTTGTGCAGGCCCTGAGTGGTTGAGAGCAGTGTCTGGAACAGGACAAGCATGTAGATGGTACTGAATTTGGATAGCTTGCTTTCCAGTCCCTTTGCCAGAGGGGCTGAAAGGCTCCCTAAAGTCTGGATCAAAGCAGGTAGGTTTTTTAGGGTTGCATTCACAGACTCAATTTGACATGCCCAGCGAGTGTGCGACAGCTGAACAAGTTGTTTGTCCCCTACCTCTAGCTGTTTCTGAAATGTTTCCAATCTCTGATGGTGGATAAGAGATGTGGAGAAGAAAGAGTAGAGACACTCCAGGAGATCAAAGAACTCACGTGCCTCTGGGATGGCTTTGCAAGTGGCGCAAAGGACAAGATTGAGTTCATGGGCATAGCAGTGAACATAAAGTGCTTCTGGATGCTTCTCTCTAAACCGAGCTTGTACACCTCTCACTTTTCCACTCATAACAGCAGCACCATCATAACTCTGGGCAACACATTTAAGATGTCCTATTCCATGTTTGTGAAGTAGCTGCTCTATTGTGTCAGTGATGGTTTTAGCATCAAATGCTGCAAGCTGGGAAAGTCCAAGGAACCTTTCTTTTACTGAGCCTTGTGGATTGACATATCGCACACACAATGCAAGCTGCTCTGTGTGGTTATCCCTTGCTTCATCCACCATTACCGAGTACATTTTTGCCTCTTTGATTTCAGATATGATCCTTGCCATTATTACGTCGGCGGTGCTTTCAATCATCTCATTCTGTGATGAGGGTGAGAGATAGGTCACACATGAAGGTGGCTTGTATGTTTGCAGAAAAGGATCAAAGTTTTCAAGAAGCTTCATGCATTCCATAAAATTACCCTTGTTATCACTCTCTGCTGCTTCATTGTGCCCTCTGAAAGCAATCCCTTGCTTCCCAAGGAAGGCTGTCACTGCTGCTATGCGTTGCAAATACTCCCTACGTTCCTCAATCTCACTTACATTTGCAGCATGCAGCTGCTGTGTGATGTCCCCATGGACGTGGGTGGCTTTAAAGCTCTTCCAAATAATAATTGAGGCCTTGTGTATGTTTGACTTTTCATGTTCTCGAAAAGAATCCAATGCACGCTTCCAGTTTGTGTATCCTGAGGTGGTGAGGGTGTCCCTTTGATCCCTTGATTGCTTTTGTTTGCCATATAGTCTACAACTAAAGCAGAATGCTGCATTGGCAGTGGTAGAATATTCAACCCATTTAAAAGTATCAAACCAACTTGGTTGAAATGATCTCTTTTGCTGGCCAAACATGCCGGATGGAAAACAGTGATGTCTCACTTGCCTTGGCCCTGTATCTGCAGTCCCTAAATCAGTTACCCAGTTACCCATTGACTCTTGTCTGTTCTGATGTTCCTGTTCATTGTTGTTCTTATCTGTTGTATCTCCTTGTGTGTCCCTTTCTCCTGTTCTCCTTTCTTCATCATCTACTCTTTTTGGCTCATCTGTGATGACTGTGTAGGTAAACACAAACAAGTATTTTAAATCAGTTTCCAGCTCTGTCAAATAAATGAATTTCAAGATACACAAATTTGTCTTCATTAAAATGAGTGTCACCACACTGTCACAAAATATAATACTAACCAATTGAAAATAGTTAAATTGACATTGGAAACCTCTTGTAGATATCACTGTTAGTAGTTATCTGCCAATAGGAGAGAATCATTCCTATACAAATGCAGTTTGAGTAATTCACTTAATATATTTACTTAACACTTTAATATAGTCATTTTCACGTAATACTCGAATAGTCATCTTTCTGCATTCAAAACTAAGGAAAGCTGTACAATTTGACATGATAATGAGGAAAAAAGGCCTCCGACAATGCAGATAATTTTTTGATCATATCAATTTTAAGATGGGGGTCAAGGCTTAATATTTGGGAGCATAGTGTCCCTTGTCCCCTTTCAGGAGCCCTACTGGATTAGCTTTGATCTGAAATCTTTGTATATAAAAAGCTTGTTAGCTAGCTGTCCATCTCATAATGTTCACATAGAAACTAGCTATCAATAGCAAATATCAATCAGAATTATAATTTCATGCAAAAATCTGTCACAAAAAGAGGTTGCACATTTAAATTCAGGTGTTATGGCAACGTCAATGGCAAAACAGCCACATTTACTGCTGCAAATACGTTCCAACCTGCTGTCGACAGTAAAGCAGTGGCAACTAGGCCACCATTTAAGCTGACTTTTCTCAGAAATACTGTCACATAACATCCATATATTTCAGTGCTAGGTTGATGCTTAGCTAAGCTAACTATGAAACACTTTAACTGACAGGAATCAGGATCAACTGTGTACTGTAAGGTAGCTTCTAGCTTCATATCGAACACTGACAGTAAGTCAACATTTCCCAGAGAGCTTTCTTTGAAATCACCAGGTAACGCTAAAAAACACAACATTTATATTGTATGACAAAGTGTTTATTTAATATATCTGGCTCGCTATAGCTACTTGCTAACGGTTTAGATTACCCGCGCGATTCAAAGTAACGTCAATGTAGCTGTAATTTATGCTTTGCTTACATGTTCGCATAACTTGTAAGTTTACTGACATGTACATACCTTGTTCACCTGGCTCAGGTGGTGGCTCTGGGGTTGTTGTGTGAGCCACCACTTGAGTATTGCCGTCTTTTTTATTGAAAAAATGTCTAATGTCCATCTTCAGAATCTCCGCGTCCGGGGCTGACAGTTTAAAGTTTAAACATTGTCACAGAGGAGAGGTACGTACCTGTCAGCCAATAAAACACGTTTATTTCCATGCAACTCTCTGATTGGTCTGGTGGTGTCTTGGCTTGCCTATGTTGCATTCACTGAACACGGAAAATTACAAATCTGCCGTCCTATAGGTAAAGAAGTACGGTTAATGTATTATATTATTGAGGGAGAATTTGTCCGGGGCTAAAGAAAAAACATCCGGGGCTAAAGCCCCGGATGCCTACCCCAGGCGACGCCACTGGCGCCGCGTCCACCGCTTCACGCGCGCCGTCGGAGCGAATTCGCGTCTGTCCGCGTCTCTGCATTGACTTTACATGTAATCGCGCCGCCCCCAAACATCGCATCGCATCGAGCCCGGCCCCCTGACTCTTCCAGCCGCTGCCTTCGCCCTCGAGCCCGGCCCCTTGAGTTCCCCAGCCGTGGTCTTCGCCCTCGAGCCCGGCCTCCTGACTCTTTCAGCCACTGCCTTCGCTCTCATGCCCGGGCCCCTGAGTTCGCCCGCTGTGGCCTTCGCCCCTTTTTGGACTCTGCCTTGCCCCCGGGCCGTCCACCCAGGACCCCTTCCGGGCCCGTCCTCCGGACCCCCTCCACCCACCCTTTTGGTCCTGGTTGTGCGGAGTTCCTGCCCCCCCCCCCCTCCCTGTGAGCCCAGTGTGCTCCGATTGGTCAGCTCGGCCACTCTGTTCTGATTAGTCAACCACCAGAGAGGCTCCGCCCATGTCTAACACAGTGCATTTTTCGGCTCTGAGCGGAACATCAGTTTTACAATGGCGTCGGTACAGCCGTATATGTTTGAACCGGAGTCCGTCCGATCCTGAAAGTGAGACAGACCAACGTGATAGACCTGATCCACCGTCCCAAACTAGACTAGAGCAGACGGTTTCACAGTGGAAAGTTTTTATTTAGTATCGCTCTTACATTTCAGATGTTAGAACTGCATCATTTATCTACATCACAGTAACAAGTTTGTCCGCTAACTGTACCTACAACTGTTGTTATTTAGGTGCAGTTGTGGAAACTGCACCATGATGCCTACCGAAATGGAAAACGTCTGTTGCAAAGAAATTAGAAAGGTAGCCTAGCTGACAGTTACAACATTATGTAGCCAGCTAGCTGAAAACACCAACAGTAGCACACAACATTATATACACCATACATATTTGTCAAGTCAATAGACTATTATATGCCCTTTTATTTCTTCCTTAGTAATTGAATGTTTAATTAGTAAACCTTGCCATAGTTGGTTTAATTGCTAAACGTGTTATGTTACAAATATCTTACCTTCCTATAGGTTGTAACACGAATGAACCAAGTCCCAGCACCTATTATGTGCATGGTACACCCCCCCCCCACATTATGTGCATGGTACACCCCCCTCATTCCCACCCAGGCAAGTGCAATGGAGAGGACACTTCATCGCGGCGTCGTAAAGGCGCCGGGGAAACAACACGGCAGAGCGACAGTCTACGGGTTATAAGCTCCAGTCAGATTTGCGTAAGACGGAGCGCCATGGGTCCTCTGCGTCGGTGGGAGGGGTCATCGTGCCCCAATGGTCATCTACCGCCCGCCTCAAGCCAGGCAGCCCCTGGCCAGTTAGGTTCAGACCCGCCATGTCTATTGCTTCGATGGGGTGGTCGCAGCAACCATGGACGTTAAAATCTCACCTACCAATCAAAGAAAAACTCTAAACCGTAATAAAGAGCGGAATTTTAATTTTAATTTACATCTCCGGCTGGGAAGCTGGAATGTTCGTACTATGTGTCTGGGATTCACTACGGATCCAGACTGCAACGTACAAAGACAAGGTGCAACA